TAATGACATGGGAAAATACCCGAACAAAGCTGAATACCATACATGTATGTATATATGTATATACACATACACACACACATACACTGTGTATATATATGTGTATATGTGTGTATATGTATACATGTATAATATATACACACAATGTATACACAAAACCTCAGAAAACATACAGATAGATAGATAGATAGATACATAGATAGATAGATAGATAGATAGATAGATAGACAGACAGACAGACAGACACACACACACACACACACACACACACACATATATATATATATGTTTTCTGAGGTTTTGTGTATACATTGTGTGTGTATATATATGTGTGTGTATGTAGGTATGCATATATATATACATACATACACACACACACATACACTGTATATGTGTGTGTATATGTGTGTGTATGTATGTATGTATGTATGTATGTATGTATATATATATATATATGTGTTTTCTGAGCTTTTGTGTATACATTGTGTGTGTATATATATGTGTGTGTATGTAGGTATGCATATACACACACACACACACACACACACACACACACACGTATGTGTATGTGTATGTATGTATACACACACACACATATAAATTATAGACATATAGACATAACTTATGGGGAATGTAAGGAACTGCACAGTAGCACTGATCCTAAAGATTTATAATGTGCTGCCTTCATCTGCGCCTGTTAATGCGACTGCTTTGATTGTCCAATTTCATTCACGTGGAGGAAGTGCCGATGAAACCTCTACCATTTTCACGTCTTCGGAACACCAAATGCTCTTTGCAAAAGATTTCACCTTTCCTTGCTTAAGTTTTCTGAAGCAAATCCACATCGATTCAGAAACTCGGGCACGAAGCCTCCCTAGGCACAGATGCTCGCTTGGACCCAATTCCAGCCTAAGCGCTCAGCCTCTCTTTTAACATTTAAGGGAGATGAACACGCGTGTGGGCCTCCGTGTCCGTGTGGTTTTAGATTCCGTCCGGAGGTCCTTTTAATAGGTTGGAAAATATTCTTCCTATGAACTTTCCAGGCGTCCTGTGCTTGAATGAGCATCGCTTCTCATTGGCCGCCCACCGCGTCCCCCGATTGGTTCCTGGTCGGGGAAGGACTTTTAGGGGTGGGGGGAGATAAGAGAAGCTATAAAAACTCCAGGTTGGTCACCTGCAGCGAGTAGGAGCCAGAACCGAAGAAGAAAAGAGGGGCTCTCTTGGTTGAGCTGATTCGGCGAGTCTTTCTCTCCTCCTTCTCTCCTTCCTCTCTTTTTCTCCAACAGCCAGATCCGTGTCTTTGCTCAAGCCAAAGAAGTGGGCAGAGAGAGAGAGAGAGAGAGAAAGAAGCAGAGAAAGAGAGAGAGAGAGTCGAGCGAGCACGCCGCGCGAACTTGGCGGAAACTTAAGAGAATGCGCCAAAAGCCCACGCTTCTGCTGCTGCTGCTGGCGGTTGCTGCTGCTTCTGCTTCTGCATCCTATGAAGTCGAGCAGAATGACTCCTCCGTCAGCCCCAGGAAGGTCAGGCTCGCAGCCCAAAACTCAGGTAACTTCTCCAGATCCTTTCCCTTGTGGGGGGTGGGGGAAGTTCTCCTGCGCAAGTGCTCCCCCTTCTGTGAAATCCAAGAAGCCAGGTGCTAAGAGGGAAGCTTGCGCAGGAAAACTTTCCAGGGGGTGAAATGGGTTTCTCTGCTCGCTTGGCTTGGCTGCTTTAGGGTACGAGAGGAAAAAGCAGGCAAGCGATCCCTTGTGGTCTGGGGGGGAGGGCCGGGGGGGCTCTTCAGAGGGGCCCAAACCCGTGCCTTGTCGTGCCATCTCCTAACGGAGAATGCCATCCTTAGCGAATGACAAGCCCCACTCGAAATCCTGGATGGATCTAGAGTTGGATTCGCTGCACCTAATCCTCTGGGCATTCCCTCTTAAGCCCTGCCCTTTGCAGAAGTTCACCGAAGCAGATTTCCACCACCCCCTATTTGCAAATTAATTGAAAATCCCCCACCCCAGTATTCTATGAGTTGCCTTCTCCAAAGACAGAAAATGCCAGGAGTGGAAAACGTGCCCTTAAAAAGAGAGGGAGAGAGAGAGAGAGAGAGAGAGTGAGGAAAGGAAGAAAGGAACTGGCCATGCATGCTTCAAGTAGGAGTATAGATGCCGGTTCCTGGAGACTGTTAACTTTTCACTTTTCTTTTTAGAGTCCTTTCAGCAATTTTTTTTTTTTTGCCTTGTATACCTCACATGCAGAGCTTGGGGTTTTCCATAGGTGCATATCCTCTTCTAATGAGCTTTCTTTAAAATGAAAGACTTTACACTGGGAGGTTCTCTGGCTTCCAGTATGGCAAGATATCACTTGCATCTTAATTTTCAATCCAGGAAACTCCACTCCCCTAATCTGACACTTGCCAGGGGAATGGTTTTTATTTCAGATCTGCAGGGCTCTGCAGCACTGATGCTGGAGTATTTGCTCAATTTCCTTTTGTACTTGGTTACTATAGAAACCTAGGGTCTCTGTTCTTCCAGGGTGTCTAAAACAATGAGAAGCCCCAATGCTTATTAAACCTGCAGATTGCAAAGTTCTAAGTTGAATCCATGGAAACATCATAAGAGAAAGCAGATGTCCAGGGTACCTACTGATTTTATATATATATATAAAACCTTTCACTTGGCACATCTAATACCATTGGAAGACAACGCCTCTGTTTTAAAGACTCCACTTACAAGGTACTAGAATACAAAGGTTAATTTTTTTTTTGAAAATTACTGCTTAGTGCCCTCCAAAATTCCTTGATTTCCTGCAACGTATTTTAGTCAAGTGTTTCTTTTTTTAAAAAAAGAAAAAAAAACTTCAGTTATATTCCTGATACCTACAAGGTGATCGGGTAGAAAAGAAGGCATATGTTTTCAAGATGGCACATAGCTAAGTAGAAATTCAACTTGGAGGGGGAAAAATAATTTAAAAAGAAATAATACCATCAGGGTGTTGTTGTTTTTTAGCAAAACTGCTGGAAGAAAATATTTTTTACCTATAGGTAGTCCTCAGCTTATGACTACAATTGGGACCAGAATTTCCACTGCCGAGCAAGGTTGCTAAGTGAGACCTGCCTTATTTTATGGCCTTTTTTTGCCAAGGTTGTTAAGCAAATAACTGCAGAGTTCTGTGTATCACAAAGTCATTCTGACTCTGCTTGTCAGAAGCTGTCCAGGAAAGTTGCAAGTGGTGATCACATGATTCCAGAATGCTGCAACCATCATAAATGTGGTTGTCAACCATCTGGATTTTGATCATGTGACTTTGGAGATGCTGCAATGGTCATAAGGCACCACTTCAGTGCCATTTTAACTTCAGATTGTAAGTTTACTTGATTCAATGTTCATTTGCGATAAATAAGTTGGATTTTTTTTTAACGAGATCTCTTTACAAAACACTGTATATCCTAGCTCTGGCTCACGGCGATGTTCCTGATATTTTCCCCTTCCTCAGTTTTACAATCTCCCTTCCAATTGGACTGAAACATCTTGGTTGCCTGAAGATCATTCACTGAGCTTCAGGAAATCAAGAAATGATTTAAATCTGGGTCTCCGTGGGCCTAGGGCCACATTTTAGCTATGACTTTTCATTGCCTTTACCCAACCAAAATCTTCCATCTGTACTTCACTTTTATGGACTTCCTAAGCTCACCTTTGGTGATGGCTTCCTAATGCATTTCTTGTAATTGGGTCCAAAAAAAATTAGGGCACATTTGCTCATAGATAGCCTTCATAGAGTGTCTTCTGGAACAATGGAACAGAACTATTAAAAAAACGTTCATTCCATAGTCTATATGGGATGTTGTTGTTGTTAGTCGCGAAGTCGTGTCCGACCCATCACAATCCCATGGACAACATTCCTCCAGGCCTTCCTGTCCTCTACTATCCCCCAGAGTCCATTTAAGCTCACACCAACTGCTTCAGTGACTCCATCCAGCCACCTCATTCTCTGCCATCCCTTTCTTCTTCTTTTGCCCTCAATCTATATGGGATAGTAGGTTCAATTTGTAAGAATCTTTGCATATGGGGAGAGGCAGGGGGAGGAGGGGAGACCTTCAGCATTCAACAATGTTGAATGTTATCATCAAACAACAAAAGTAAAGATATGTTGCCTCTGCTATGTTCCCATCCCATGTTCACAATCCAATGTGGTCATTTTTAAAAGTGCCCCTTTATAAAATTGGTCAACATTATTAAAGAGGTGGTATGTTTATTATAAAAGTAAAGGTTCCCTTCGCATACACATGCTAGTTGTTTCTGGCACGAGGGGGTGATGCTCAACTCCAGTTCAAAGCCGAAGAGCCACTGCTGTCCGAAGACATCTCCGTGATCATGTGGCCGGCATGATTAAATGCCAAAGGCGCATGGAATACTGTTACCTTCCCACCAAAGGGGTCCCTATTTTTCTACTTGCATTTTACGCGCTTTTGAACTACTAGGTTGGCAGAAGCTGGGACAAGTAACGGGCGCTCACTTCGTTACAAGTAATTCAAGTAGCTCCATTACTTGATGCTAAGCTTGTCGATCAGAAAGGTCGGCAGTTCGGCGGTTTGAATCCCTAGCACCGCGTAACGGAGTGAGCGCCCATTACTTGTCCCAGCTTCTGCCAACCAAGCAGTTTGAAAGCACGTAAAAATGCAAGTAGAAAAATAGGGACCACTTTGGTGGGAAGGTAACCACGTTTCATGTGCCTTCAGCATTTAGTCATGCCAGCTACATGACCACGGAGATGTCTTCGGACAGCTCTGGCTCTTCGGCTTTGTAATGGAGATGAGCACCGCCCGCTAGAGCCAAAAAAAATCTAGCATGTATGTGCAAGGGGAACCTTTACCTTTAGAGTTTCTTTCTGGAGTCATAAGACATGTTTTATCATTTACCTTCTCCTTGTCCCTCTCCTGCAGATGTTTATGGTGTGAATTAATTAAGAGACTTGTAAAATTGCAAAAATTGAGTCTTCTGCTTTTCTAATTCCATCTCTGATCTGTAGTCAAGCCATATTTTCTTACGGGCCGTTTTAATAAATAAAAAGAAATGAGATGAACAGATTAAAGCATAAAATTAGATATTTCAGAACAAAGAAACCAGCAAATAAATGTGGAGATTTCTCCCTCAACCTATTTATCAGAGCCCTATCTTTCCAGACTCCCTCAATCAACCATAGCTTTCAGGCTTCAGATATACTGGACTAGAAGTCCCATAAAACCTTTTCTTCCTTTGTCATAATTGGGTTAGGCAGGTATTTCAACGTTTCATATATATGAATCTGCTTTTGTAGCTGCTGGGATTCTGAATTAGATTTGAAATGACTTGTGTTATCACGTTATGGTCAAATTGCCCTGAATCAAATTGTACTGAGGACCTTGAAAGAATTATTTCCTTGGTAGAAATAATATAAAAAAATATCTCAACTAAATAACAACTGTCTGAGTGGGCAGGTGTATTGAGAGGCTGTACAGCAGGCTGGTTATGGTCTGATAGAATTGCATCAGTTTGGTAGACTCCAAGTAGCTTTAACATCTTGTTTGATTTGGAAAATAACGTGCAGTTCGGATGCTCACCTGGGTTTGATTTCTGCCCAGAATTTTGCCCTTCTGATGTATCAGTTGGGCCCCGATGAGTGGAGTATGAAGGTATTTTCTTCATCAAACCTTTGGAAATGAATTTTCCCCACCCCCACAGGCTGCAGATATATGAGAAACTAATATTGTAATAGGAAGAGAAGAACATTATTCATGGACATCTATGGAGATTCTCAGTCCTCCAGAGTTGCTTTTTTCAAGAGGCAACTGGACTTTCTGGTTTTTCTTTGAAGACATTTCACTTCTCATCCAAGAAGCTTCTTCAGCTCTGACTGGATGGTGGGGAATGGAAGGGTTTATACTTCTTGCAGACAACTGGTCATTTTCATTCTTTAGCGGGTCGAAGAGGCCATTTATGTCAAAATTGGAGGCCCAAAGAGGCCATTTATATCAAAATTGAACAGCCCTCTTTCAACCGAGGGGGAGGGATATGGCATCATCTATCTCCAATTTATAACACAGTCCTTTTAACAGTTCCAAGAAGGCTTCACACCTATTTGCACCGCTCAGGTGACCCTGAGGGCACAGATAAACCTCCAGGTCACCTTAATGACCCGCTAAAGGAATTCAAATGACCAGCTGACTGCAAGGAGGATAAATCTTCCATTCCCCACCATCCAGTCAGAGCTGAAGAAGCTTCTTGGGTGAAAAATGAAACATCCTCAAAGAAAAACCAGAAAGTCCAGTTGCCTCCTGAAAAAAAGCCCCTTTGAAACATTATTCATGCACAGCCATGTAGCACCAGCATTAGAAGTGCCTTTCCCTTGAAGTCTTACAGCATAGTTGATCCTCAAAACAACTCCCATTTTCTAAGGTAGTAGGAGACCATTTTTTTCTTGAAACAAAATCTTCCAGGGCAGCAACTGGGCTCCGCCGAGACCCTGAAAGTTGAGTGTTGTGGCTGAAAATGCAACGAACCCCTTACTAAGGGTGATGTGTCGAGGAGAGCTATGTGGAAGTAAAACATGACTCAGCAAATGTGACCGATACCTTCTACCAGCTAAGCTGAAAGCTGCTATGGTTTTGAATCAAGTGTGATAGAAACTTGTGCTAAGATGTTTTCTATGTCTTGTCTACCCTTTTCTTTGCAGTGGATGTGGTTCGATGTCTAAATAGTGCCCTCCAAGTAGGATGTGGGGCTTTTGCCTGTCTGGAAAACTCTTCGTGTGACACAGGTGGCATGTATGACATCTGCAAATCTTTCCTCTACAGCGCTGCTAAATTTGACACTCAGGTACGGTACAGATTTGAATAATATCCTTTTTATGTGCATCAGGGTTTCTGATAGGCCAAGAAGGAGCTTTTTGGCTCGTGAATATATGAAATTTAATTGCATATAAAATAGGGCACCACTTTTTGTATGCAAAAGACCTTAAACTTCATCCCTAGCATTTCTTCTCGGGGCTGAAAAAGATTTAGATGTGGAAAAAGCAATCCAAGGAGCATAGACAAATGAGTAACATCGTACAAATGGATATGTAGTCTTCAACTTACAACCCCAATGGGAACCAGAACATCCATTGCTAAGTGAAATGGTTGCAAAGTGGGTCGCACCCAATTTTGCAATCTTTTTTGCTGGGGGCTGTTAAATACATCACTGTGGTTAAGTGAAACATTTCAAAAATTGGCCAGGAAGGTAACAAAGGATGATCACATGAGACCCTGGGATGCTCCAACCATTGTAAATGCAGGAATTTTGAACACATGACCTTCTGTCACAGTCATAAGTGCAAGGACTGTCTACAAGTTACATTTTTTTTTCAGCATTGTGATAATTTTGGTCATTAAATGTGTTGAGGACTACCTGTAAAGTTTTTGAGTTTGGTTGCAGGTGTAGACATCTATGACTGAGAAGCTGCTTGATATGGTTAACATAGGGATACCATAACTGTGATTCTTATATTTAAGTCTATGGTCTTTCATTGATTGCATTTTATATTTTTTAAAAAGGATTTGATTGAGCAATAAGTTAATAATTGCACTAGTAACCTTATCTCTTTTTTTGCATCTGAAGGAAGTAAAATGAGAAAGAATCAACAGCATAATCAATAAAACTGTTGATCATTATATAAGAGAACAGGAATCCTGCAACATTCATTTTAAAGCAAAAATAACCCATAGGAAAGTCTAGTTCTATCTACAAATTTTTGTATGAACCAGCATGCCTTCAGTTATTGAAACCAGCTGCAGTAAAATATTGCTTTTTTTGAAGGCCCTGTTTCAGATCATGAACTTAGGCCCACTGATGGGTTCCTTCTGCCATGGATCTTACTGCACCAGTTCATTGATGTTGGGATGGTTCATTGAATGGGTCTGAATCATAAAACATGTAGCTTTATAGACATGTATTATTATCAGTAGGTGACAACCTCTGGGCAACCATGGGGGAAGAGTCTGTGAAGCTGAACCAGGTTCAAACCCAGTTGGTACTCACATGGAGCGCTACAAAAAATATAGATTCAAGTGAATAAAAAAAAATCCCACCATTTTAGAAGAAGCCATTTCCATATGGCTGCCAAGAAAATGACCTAGATGCTCTCCTTAAATCACCAGTGCAATTTGGACTTTTTTTTTTTCAGGTGCACGTTAACTCCTTGAGTTGGTTGTTACAGCTTGCCAACTCAATGCTTTCAAAGGCTGATATCAGGGTGCCAAGTAATGCACCCATAGAAAGTAGAACTCCGAGGCAGGCAAATTCCTCAAAAGAACAGTTTTACTGGATATATCATGTTATCACAACTGGTGAAAGCCAACTCTGAAAGTTCCTGTGGTTTTCACCTAATTAAAAAGTAAAAGTCTCCCCTTCACCCCAGGTCACTGGCCATGCTGTCCAATCCAGTTGCTGGCTGGTTGCTTGGTTACTTCACTCCTCCTCTGGCCAGCCACCTGTCAGAATGTCCTTGGTTCCCAACGTTGATTTAGCTACAAAATCCCATCTAACTATTCCTCCCCCGTGTTGTTGTGGCAAGCCTGAACCCTCCAAGATGGCCTCAGCCAAGTTCACTTCAGGATTGACAGCTGGTATCATATGGTCAAAGGGTAGAAATGGTTGTGATAAAATTATACAACATCTGCTAACACCCACAGTGCATTGAACTTGCAGTCTGTCATTTCAAGCAGTATTTTTTTCTTCCAGTGCAAACTTAATTAGGTAAAATACATGTGACTGGTGAAGATCATGACTGGGAATGTCTGTTCCATTATCCATTTTACCTGAGCTTATTAAGTAATTAGAAGGCAAGGCCTGGGCAGCACAAACAAACACAACAGCCAACGACTTAAAAGCCAGCCATCAACACACACGCCAATCTGCATCTAAAATGCCACATACAACAGGCCCCATATTAATACCACACAGAACAGCACACACTCTGCTAGAGAGAAGTTCCTTGAAGGTGGACTCTAGCACCAGCTCAAAAGCTTGGAACACAAAACTTCTAAGTCCCAGTTACTGGCCTAGATTGGATCCTGCATTACCCTTTTTTTTTAATATTTATGAAATAGCTTTGCTCTACTTCATTTTTACATGCTAGAAGAAATATTAAATTGCAGAAGCATGCATGATCTTCCAAGTTCCATGTGCTTCCAGATCGTATTGCCTAATTTTTTTTTAAGTCTAAAATGTCTAAGAGCTAAGTGAATTTGTCCATAATCACAAAGATCTAATAGTTACAGCTGTTTTTCAATCCATATCATGGTCCTGCCACTGAAATAAGAAAAGTGTTCAAAATACCATTAGCAAGGACAGGTGAACTTTGGTATGAATGCAGTGGCAGCATTGCAGGAAGACCTGGCCTTTTTCAAAGCAAAGGACACTTTTGAGTGGCATCAGAGGGGCTAAACTCAACAAAGTAGCTGAATTTAGACAACATTTATACATATTGGCAAAAAAAAGCAAAAGTATATTCAAAAATTCTTTTCAAGGATATCATTAGGAGCCTCAGAATTTGAAACATTAAATCTTTTTATGATCATCAATAACATTTTTTAAAAGGTTGGAAGAATTAACACTTCGGTTAAAGGAGTATAAATATACTATTAGTGAAAATTAGGGCACTTTCCTAAAATAATCAAGAACTAGAAGCTACCAATAAAGGAGAATATTTATAGCTGAGGATTGAAATAGCGGGTCCTTGGTGCTCTGAGCTTTTGTTTTCTTGTAGATGTCTATGGAGATTCTCAGTCCTTCAGATCATAGCTGTCCTAAAGGTGCTTTTTCAAGAGGCAACTGGATGTTCTTGTTTTTCTTTGAAGACGTTTCACTTCTCATCCAAGAAGTTTCTTCAGCTCTTTGGTGTTCTCTGAGCTTAGCTGTTTTCTTGCAGGCACTTCATTACCCAAACTAGCTAACATTATCAGTGTCCTGATGAGCTTGTCTAGTTTGGGTAACGAAACATCTGCAAGAAAAGAACACCAGAGAACACCAAGGAGCCCTCAACTGGAAGTTGATCAGAATCCGTTTCTTCCAAACCTGCTCAATATTTGAAAAGGATGAGCCCTTAAATTAATTTCCACACCCATCACCTACTTGACTCTTTATTTTTCAACTTGTCTTTTTATTCTGAAAATGAAAAGTAATAGCAGGAGGGCTGGAAAATGAGAGGACTTTCATATTTAAAAGAGCTATACACATTTTCAAGACTCCAAAAATGGGAGACCTATCAGAAAACAAGTTGAAGAAATGTTGCTTATTCGTGGTTTCAAATATATCAGTTTATATTTTTTTTAAAAAAACTGCAGTTCTAGTCATTAGAACAAAAGCAACTAGACCCTGGAAGTAAATTGGAAATTAGGCAAATTCATCCTCTAATGGAGAGAAATGGATAATGTCAAAAATGTGCAACATTCTAACAGAGAACATAAAAAGAAATAGGCTGAAAAAAGAATATATAAAATCAAATATAAATGCCTTCTCCAGAGTTCAGATAGAATGACTGGCCTGAAGTCACCCTGTTGGCTTCAGGCCCAAAATAGGATTAAAACTTCCTTCCCGTTTCTCACCCAGTGCCTTTACACACTATGGCAAAGTAGCTGTTCTAAGAATCCCTTTCCTTTTGATGGTTACCCAACTGACATAGAAAACCATTGAAATCAATATTCCTCAAAATTGGAGAAAACTCAAAAGTATTTTGTGGGGGATATTCAACACCAATGTAACTTATAAGGTGTTATACTATAGATGTCCAGACTTTTTGGACTGATTCTTTTAAAAGTTAAAATTGGTTTATATAACATTATTGCCTCCTGTGTTGGCTTTGCAAAGGTTTTGTTTCAACCTGTTGAAACATCAAAACTTGATACCTTCTTATTTGTCACAGCCAGTCAGTAGTATCAAAATCTTGAAAAACAGGAAAAGAAATGAATATTACCGTTTCCATATGATATTAGATATGCTATATGTCAACCCTGAAGTTTGCTTTCATGGAAATTCTGGCCCCCAAAAAGCATCACTATCACAATAATAAAGAAAAAAAATATGTTTTTTGGCTTGGTTTAAACCTGTGAGAATGATAAGGAAACCACAAGAGCTTTGCTGGACCATGTCTGAGCCACTCAAAACCGACATTTCCATGTTTTTTTACTACTGGTTCTGTGGGTGTGGCTTGGTGGGTGTAGCTTGGTGGGCATGGCAAGGGAAAGATACTGCAAAGTCCCTATTCCGTCCCCACCCCACTAACCTGCTTTCCAGCTCCGTTCTCCTGTGTGGGGCAACAAAAGGAGACCCAGCCGATCAGCTGGGACTCGGGAGGCAGAGAATAGATGGGGTTGGTGGGGTCAGTCAGAGGTGGTATTGGCCAGTTCTCTGAACTACTCAAAATTTCCGCTACCGGTTCTCCAGAACTGGTCAGAACCTGTTGAATACCACCTCTGATTCTCAGTCATCCAGGTCATGATTGCCCCAAATGTGCTTTCTCAAAAGGCAACTGCACTTTGTTTTTTGTAAAAGACGTTTTGCTTCTCATCCAAGAAGCTTCTTCATTTCTGAACTGTAGAAGCTTCTTGGGTGAAGAACAAAATATCTTCAAGGAAAAACAAAGTTGAAAAAGCGCCTTTAGGACAGACACTTCCATGGTTAGAATAGCTCATTCTGGTGTTAAAAGAGCCTGGGATGCTTTGCAGACTTCTAGTTAATACATCTGATGGTTGTGTGATCAAAATTCAGAGGGGAAGAGAAGATGTTCTTTTAAGGCCTATTATTAAGTTGCCTGGCAATATTTACCTTTCCATGATAAGACTTTTTTTTTGGGGGGGGGAGGGGGTGAAATTAAACAAAGTTATTAATGAGGACCCAGATTGTTGGGGACAATATTCTGAATCAAATATATCAGTTTATCTTATTCTGAATCAAATATATCAGTATACCATTTGGAAAGGGCTGTAAAGCACTGTGAAATGATATATAATTGAGTGAAATTGCTATTAGTATGAGGACCATGTTCACACCCAAGAAAAATTAGCCTTTTTAGCTATCTTTCTCTTTTAGTTGATTTTGATAGCTGCAGCAAATGCTGCTGACTGAAGAGTTTGTGAATGCAAATGATGGTGATGTGGGGTGATACAACTCATATCTCTTTGTGGCATGGTCAGATGAGAAAATATCTTTGGTTATAGGTCAGGCAAGTCTCAAAGCCAGAATGTTCAATTAGGGGTATTCAGAATGACTCTGAATCATCCCTTATCCATGGAAGGAAATTACAGAAAACATAGTCATAAACCATTTCTGACAGTAAGAAGTGTACAATGATAGAATAGTCTTATCTAATGATGGGTTGTGGATTCATCTTTTTAAAGATCTTTTTGACCTCCCATAAATGTTTTAAATGATTTCCCCCTATTTATTGCAAGAGGGTTAGACTTCTGCAAATTATTTTGGGGGTTCTTTCCAGTTCTACAATTCCATTCTGTTAAAAAGAGGTCTGTATGCAGCTTTAGGCAGCTGGAAATAGCCTACCTCAGGTTGTGTCAAGCTCAAGGCCCGCGGGGTGCTTAGATATGGGCCGCGGGGCCGCTCTAACAGTGATAGACCAGCCCGTGGTGCCTCTGCCAGCAAAAACGGGCTCCCGATCTCCGTTTTCGGCTGGGATGGCCTCTGGCAATCCTTTGCCGGTAAAAACGGAGCTCCGAGCTCCGTTTTCGCTGGCAGAGGGTTGCAGGAGGCCATCCCAGCTGAAAACGGAGATCGGGAGCCCATTTTTGCTGGTAGAGTACTCAGGCCAGCACAGGCATCCCCAACATGAGTGAAGTCAAGCTGGCCTTGCCCCCCCAGACTTCCCCCCACATCAAACAACCATGATGGGGCCCTTAATAAAATCGAGTTTGACACCCCTGGCCTAGCTAAAAGTTAGTACTGCTATCATCTGGGAAAGCCCACAGTGGCCTTAGTTCAAAGCATGATGGGAACAGCAAGTCGGGATGAGGGTTCTCTTTCCTGTCTGTACAGTTTTTCCCACAAGCTTCTGTGTAAAGCCTTGGCAGACGACACCTTGTGGGGTGGAAAAGGAAGTTTTCTTTTCAAGAGGAAACAAATGTGTTTTCCCCATTCTTGGAGTTGGCAAGGAGACTGAATTTTTCCCAAGTTGGAAAGCTATATATGTTCCAGCTGTGCCTGATATGAGTCCCCTTCATGCAGGTGACCAGGAGTTTTAGAACAATCTGGAACTTGCCTTCTCCAGGAGACAACCTGGGCCACTGAAATTGAAAGGTCAATGACCAGCAATATAAAGTAATAAAAAGAGAAATAAAAGATAGCAATTGCAATCAGGATCAACAGAGAGAAGTGGGTACAATTTTATATTGGCAACTGTAAAATAAATATAGTACATTCTAAACACTCCTATTGCAATAATATTTTTATTGATCTAATACTAATTAATCAAATATATAATAAAAGTATACATTGAAATATATGGCCTCTAAAAGTTATTGGAAAATAACCAAGGAAAATTTTGATTAAAAGTAAAGAACTCTAGTTCTTTAACTGGTTTTTCCTTATTCTCACTGCAGCAGTACAAAATTTTGCTACTGATATGAATCTTGGAGAAGAAGATGGTTCACATAAAAATTATCTGAACTCCCTAGAAGTCTCTCTAATAATGGGAGAATTGTACATTGATCGGATGTCCCAGTAGAACTTGCAGCGCAATAAAAGACATGGGAGATATTTGCAACTTCCTCATTGTCCCATGTACACATTTGTTCTGCTATTGAAAATCTGGGCCACTGATCATTGGTCGTGGCAATAACAGCCTTTTGTTGAGAAGCAAACTCGACATTGCAATAAAGGAAGACTTCCAGACTATAACTATTGCATTTCTTCTGGCTGATCTAAGCACTCTTAGATTCTTCCAACAACTCAGGCTTGGAAGAAGCTCTTGAATGCCATTAGGAAGTATAGCTCTTCATCTAGAGAATTCCAGCAATGTCCATTCCATTCGGCCGAAACATCTCAAAAGGGGCTTTCATTTTTCTACTTCATTCCCAGAGAGCTTCAGAATTTTGATGGGGGGGGCGGGGAGAGGGTGTTTTCAGCTTACTTTAGGGTTGTGAGTTGACAAAGGGAGCGATATTTTTCGCTCCCTCTGCAGTGTCCCTGGCTGCTCCTGATTTTGGAACGGGTCTGAGGTTCCTTCCCTTGTGACTTGAGGTGTAGGAGGCTGCAAACAATTGATGTTAATGAAAAATAGAACATTAACACACCAGCCTTCAGAATAACTGTCATTCCTCAACATAGGATTTTCTGATACTAAAATAGACATGAGATACTTGGTACATCATGTTAATTGACACGAATCCACTGTTTGTCCATTCCTTGTTTGAGTAACAGCTGTGGCAAACTTATTTGCTACTGTTAGCTTCGTGTATTTTGGTAAGGAGAGCTTATCTAATTTTGGTTAAACATCATGATTAATAAACTCTGGCTTCTGGCTGAAGTGAAACCAGCCTATCCAAATATGCCGATCTTGGTAAATGAGGAACAATAAGAGTAGAAAATGAAATAATGGTTGACCTTTCATAAATCATTTAAAAAGAGCTGGAAGTTTCTGTTGGGAAGTTATGATCAAACGTTGCTGAACTTCAGCAAACTATCTACAGGTCCTTTATTGGATGAAGTCTCCTTGTCTGCCCACCCATGACATAGAGGACTAGACTTGCAAATAGTGAAGCTACAGCTCCTAAACTAGCTTTCCCAAACCTGGTGTCTTCCAGGTCCAATGAATTCTTCAGCGCAGTGGTGGGATTCAAATTTTTTTACTACCGGTTCTGTGGGCATGGCTTGGCGGGTGTGGCATGGCTTAGTGGGCGTGGCAGGGGAAGGATACTGTAAAACCCCCATTCCCTCCCCACCCCACTAAACTGCTTTCCAGCTCCGTTCTCTTGTGCAGGGCAATAAAAGAAGACCCAGCCGATCAGCTGGGACTCTGGAGGCAGAGAATAGATAGGGGCAGGGGCAGTCAAAGGCGGTATTTGCTGGTTCTTCAAGCTACTCAAAATTTCTGCTACCAGTTTTCCAGAACCGGTCAGAACCGACTGACTACCGCCTCTGCTTCAGTGTCATGCTGGCTTGTTGTAAGTCCAAACCATCTGGGAGGATTTAGTCTTCTGAGTTTTCAGACTCCTACTGGAGGCCATCTTCACTCAGGGAATGTATCTGTGTGTGTATGTGTGTGTGCACATAGAGAAGTTCCTGAAGTTGGGCTCTAGCACAAGTTCCAAAGCTTGGAAGACTAAATCTCTGGGCCTGGTGACCAACTCTGATTGGATCCCGCAACATTATCCTGGGACACGTATATTGGGAAAGAATCAAATATAGGAGAAGACTGGATGAGTTCATTCTGTTGCTTGATATTTCCTGGCCACAGGAAGCTCTTTACCCAAAAAGATTCTTGTGTCAACAATACGAATAAATCAAGCTTTTTTCATAAGGAAATCCACCACTGACTTCTGCTCTGGGATTATTATTAGTATAATAAAAAGGTATATTTTATAAATAGAATGTGAGCATGGCCTCGTGTTGAAAGTAAACCTCGCATGCATTTATAATTTAATCAGTTTTATGCACTGTTATTTACTCTATTTAGAGCAACGGTCTTCAAACTTGGCAAGTTTAAGACTTGTGGACTTCAACTCCCAGAATTCCTGAGCTAACATGACTGGAAGAGGAATTCTGGGAGTTGAAGTCCACAAGTCTTAAAGCTGTCAAGTTTGGAGACCCATTATTTAGAGTATATAGACTATAAGCCCTGAATGGGTCTTTGGGAATCATGATTAAGATTCCTGCTTGCAGGCATTCCCAACGGATCATCATTTTTCAGCAAAAGGGGAAGCTCCCAATTCTTTCTACTCCATTGTTGAACAACTCTTAGAGGCAGTAAATTATCCTGAGATCCAGCTATTTTCCAGTTATCCTTTGGAACAATGCAGAACAGCTCTGAGGAATAAATGGTGGGAGTTTGAAACTCACGACAAAAATTGATGCAAGGTGTCCTTGGTGCTCTCCGAGCTTGATTGTTTTCCTGCAGACATTTCATTACCCAAACTAGGTAGCATCCACCAGTGCTCAATTGCTGTCCCATGGGTTTTAACCTAGTTCCTTACATGTTCCTTTCCTCCTTGTGGCAGGGGAAGGCCTTTGTAAAGGAGAGTCTGAAATGCATTGCCAACGGTGTCACATCCAAGGTGTTCCTGGCCATTCGCCGATGTTCCACATTCCAGCGTATGATTTCTGAAGTGCAGGAAGAATGTTATAGCAAGCTGGACATCTGTGGTGTTGCAAAAAGGAATCCAGAAGCCATCACAGAAGTGGTCCAACTCCCAAACCAATTCTCAAACAGGTAGGTTTGATACTCATTTAAAGGAACCGTTAAATCGACTGGGGGATGTTCAAGTCCCTGGCCAACAAGATTTTATTTGTTGGTTCATTTTTTACTATTTTTGCAAATAAGTTCAAACCTTTATTGTCAATGCACAACGTGTGTACAATGACATTGAAATGTATTCTGTGTTTTTTGAGGTGTATTCTGTTTTTGTGTGGGCTACACCAATGGAGGCCAATTCAATTTCATTGTACACATGTTGTGCATTGACAATAAAGGTTTGAACTTGAACTTGAATTAAGTCAAAGTGGCAAACATATCCAACACACTTCATACTTTCCCCACAAAAACAACAACAACCCTTTGAGGTGCGTTGGGCTAAGAGACAGGGAGTGGCTCAAAGTCACCCAGCTGGCTTTCATGACTAAGGTGGGTCTTGAACCCACAGCCTCCCACTTTCTAGCTTGGGGCCTTAACCATTAGACCAAACTGGTTCCTTTTGTGAGAGGCAGATCATCTCTACAAGTGAATATATTCTGTGTTTGTTTACTGTAGTTTATTTAAGTATATAGCCTGCTTTTCCTGACTGGTTTATCTCGTCACTTGGTGGCCAGAGAGAAGGCAGCCCTGCGCATTTGTCAATTTGTCAGTCAATGGATCAACCCATGGGAAGCTATGAGGAAAGCCACAGCTACTATTTAGTGGGATTAAGCAGTGTGTACAGAGTGTGGCAAGTTGTACCTCAAGATTGCAGCTTTTCACAGCAGCCTGTGTCCTGCATGAGTTATTTGGGGATTCTCAGAGCATCAAAGAACGAAGAGAGTTGGATCTCCCTCTCTCTTTAAATTGTAACCTTAGAAAGAAACTAAGAGAGCCAACTGCTGAGGGATAAAATTCAGGCCTGGGTTTAATCTCGGTCAAATTGAAAAAGGCTGCTGTGTGTGAAACCTCCCCCCTCCCAGAGAAAGAATCACATGCAGCAGTGTTCTGTTGGTTGGGAAATCTTGGTTTGGTAGTCCTGATTTATCAGCTGGATAAGAAACAAAGCCAGCTTTGGGCTGGCTGAGGGAAGGGAAGGAAAGGGACGAGCAGTCAGAAGTGTCCTTTGGGGGATGAAAAAAGTTTAAGGGGGTGGTAGGAATTGTGCCATCAAAATTTTGCCCTCTTTTTCTGTGTACCGCATATGAAAAGCAAGACTTCAGTCACATGATTGCTGGCATTATATTGACTTTTATGACCCCCTTATGAGTGGCTTATGAAAACATTGTGATTGCTGCGTACCACAGAACAAAACACAAACATTAGACTTGTTCTATTTTTCCTGAAAACATTATTGAAAGAATGGCCACCACACAGTCACAGGGTGTTCTTGAAACATGAAGGGTTTGGTATTTTGTTTGCTTGTTTGTTTTTTGTTTTAGTGACTGAAATAAAAGGCTAATACTACAAGCTAGAAATAAGCCCAACAGGATTTCCTAGTGAGTAAGTTGACACTTCCCACACCCCTTCAAAGAAACTAAGAATGGCTAAGTTGGTGATAGAGCTGAGCAGGAAATCATTAAAAAGTCAGCACATCTTCCTCTGGTTTAGCCTGAAGTGACCTTTATAATACAGGAAGCGAAGTTTAAGGTTCATATATTGATATTAATCCTAAAAGATTGCCATTCTCAAGAGATTTTTTTAAAAAAAAACAACAACCAAAAGATAATTTTCACACTTGGTTTGGATGATGGTTTTTCTGAATTGAAATCCTACAGCCAAGGTGAAGTCCCCCTAATGGCCCAGAAGTGTACACTAGATATAGGAAATGGTCAGACTGTATGAGGTGGGACTATTCAGGATGTTTGAATTGGGTAAATCCACAGTGAAGCAAAAGGATTTTCCACTCATCCCCCGAGGGAAGGAAAAATCAGATTGTGGATTCTCCATATCCTTCCATATCTCTGTGGGTAAGATTATTGGCGCTGACAGCATTTAGAGAGGGCAAAACTAGAAGTGAATGGTTCAGAACTATAGATAGAGTAGAACTGCGTCCCACTAATGGATCTGTTAATTAATATATTAATTAATTAATATATTAATTAACAAACACTTGAATAGCTTGCCTCCTGCTGGCTTCATTGGAGGTTTTCAAAAATAGACTGGGCAACCATTTGACTGGGATGTTATAAAATCTACTATTTTGAGCACGGGATTGGGCTAGAAGGCCTTCGGCCCTATTATTTTCACGTTGTCTCCTTCAATTTGGGTAGGGAGCTAAAGAGTTTTCTTCTATTTTTAAAAATGCATGAAGCCTATTTTAGGCTATAGCACTATTTCCAAGATAGCAAGAATATTTGCTATTTCTTTTATCAGTTTGCTTAATAGAATATCTTGCCTCTCCTTGAAGAGCTGAGGGAATTCCCTTTTGTTTTATCCTCCAAACAACCCTGTGAGGTAAATTGAGCCAAGAGAGAGTGTGTGGCCAAGGCATTCAGTAATTTTCCATGGTGAAGGGTAGGCTATTGGTTTGTTCGTTCATTTATTCTTTCCATTTACATCCCACTGTAATCCAAATATAGCTTTCAGCAGTTCAGAGGATACATCTAGTAAAATATCTATGGCACTTATAAATTTTAAAAATACCGTAGGTCATTGCATATAATTTTGAGAAATCATGAAGGATAATGATTTCAATGTAATTACATTCAGTCATAGCCTTCCTGCTTAGAAGCATCCGTAGGAGGTATCAGGATCTTCTACTGCTACCATTGAATAGGGGGATTCCTACTGGATTGTTGAATTTTTGAATACTTTAGAATTTTTTGCTATATTTTATATTATTTTCACTTCCTGGAAGCCAATCAGTGGCACTGACTTATAATCTCTAGAAGAATTTGATAGTATCTTATCAATCAGTTGGTTTGAATCTTAATAACTTTGACAATGACAGTACATTAAAATAGTGGTATGTTAAAAGAGCATTTGATCTGTCCAAACTTGGTCTTTCAGTAGTGCCCCCATGGCCACTGTAACTGAGTCCACCCACCTCCATCCTGATCCCATTTTGCTCTCCTCTTTTCTTGCACGTTTTCCAGGAAGAGAGAGAAGAAGAAAATGATATGAATTATTATTATCAGTCGTTTATACCTTTTGTATTTGTTTAGCCCTCTTGAGTGCTCAGAGGATTGGTCTACAGTTATAATCTAAATTTAGATCTCCCTTTACTCCAAGATTTCAATTCCATTTGAATCCCCATGGCACTCAGTGTTCTTTCCTGGCCAAGAATGGATTTGAAGTGTAGGCCCACCATAACAATTACAACACACTGGGTCCTCCTGCATTTCCTCTATACTTCAGAGGAATTGAAAAAGGGAAGATTTTGTGGCTGAGGGTAAGCAATTTCCTAAGCTTTAGCTCCATCTCTTCAGTGTTATGCCATTTCAAGTTAATTGACTCCGGATGAGTAAAATCTGGAAGTCTTTTGTTGGTTTCACCTCCAGCAGCCACCCCTTAGGTTAAAATGACACAGAGAGCATTCTTGACTTGACCAATTTAACAAAGGCCGCTGGTGCTTCCTTTGCTAGTCCCTAAGTGAAAGAGCAAAGTGGATGAGAATCTAATGGGATTTAAACCTGGAGTCCCTTCGCTTTTCTCATTCCACCTTCGAAAATTGACATGTGCGACACTAAAAACAGGTTCTTAGCCCGTGCTTGCACAAATTTCCTCTCTGCAAATGAAAATATGACTTGCATGTCTGGAGCGGTTATTATAGGGCTGGAAAAAATATTTCAGATTTTTAAGACGCCAGCGTCTGGATCCTTGGAGGAGCTGACTTCCCAAGGCCTCTGAGGCAGATCTATGGGAACAATGCACCGGATTAGCCTTCCCCACGTTGCTATGTCATTCCGATGTGACTTCAGGCAGTTGCTGGGTAAGGGAAAGGGCCTCTACTTGATTAAGGCTCTTTCTTTGTCACAGAAGGGACTGCACAGCTGCTTTCAGGTTGAGGTGGTTTTTAAAAAACGATGCCATTGGTAAGCTCAGGAGATGCTGTGTTCTGGTCAGATACCTGGCTCATGGATTTGATCTGAATAGTTGGCAGGGAGGGGGGGTGCAGTTTGATGTGGTTCATTTGTGCTTTTTAATGGACAAATGTGGAGGTCCCATTAGAAGACCCAGAGGTGCTTTCTTTCCAAAGGCAACTGGGCTTTCTTGTTTTCCTTGAAGACATTTTGCTTCTCATCCGAGAACCTTCTTGGAACTTCCTCCTTTTGCTACCTATTGATAGAGTTGATCCTATAATGGGCCATGGTTGAGGTGTATTCTCACCAAAGACTGCATTTGGGCTGTGCAAAATAGGTTGAAATGGAGTCCAGTTGCCTTTTTGAAAAAGCACCTCTGGAACAACCATGATCTGGATCAGGGATCTCCAACCTTAGCAACTTTAAGCCTGGAGGACTTCAACTCCCAGAATTCCCTAGCCAGCAAAGCTTTGAAGTTCTCCAGGCTTAAAGTTGCTAAGGTTGGAGACCCCTGATCTGGATGATTGGGAATCTCCACAGACGTTCTAAATACTGGCTTCTGAATGGTCCTGAATTCTATGAAGTTTCTTGAGTACTAATCAATATTGTCTTTATGCAGGTATTACAGCAAACTTATGAGAAGTTTGTTGGAATGTGGGGAAGAAATTGTCGGGACCATTAAAGACAGTTTGATGGCCAAAATTGGACCAAACATGGCCAGCCTGTTCCATCTCCTGCAGACCGATCGCTGCGCCCAGATTCATCCGAGAGCAGACTTCAATCGGAGACGCATCTCGGAGCCTCAAAAGTTAAAAATCTATTTGAGGAATCTCCAGGGGGAGGGACCTTCACCAGCCTACGCGAAGCGTGATTCTTCAGAAAGCGTGTAATGTGCCATTGAATGAGTAGAGAATCCCAGTTGTACCAAACTAAGAAATTGCTCTTTTTTTTTTCTTTTGCATTCACAATACACCAGAAATGTACTGTAACTGACTTCTAAGGACATTTAGCCAATCTATACAAACAAACAAACAAACAAAAAGGACATGGCATAGTTTTCCTGGGACTGTACGACTTAAAGCTTGAGGTGGGGAAAACTGCCTATTTAAAGCTTAATATTGCAAATGTAGTCATGCATAAATAGTTCTTTCAACAGTGTAAAATATTTTATGAGGACCTCCTTTAATTGGGAAAGAATAGTTGACATCTACTTCTTCTCCTCTACCATTAATCATAATATATTCTGAAGTGGTACAGTCACAAGCAATTGGTTTTCCATGTTTCTATGGAAGTATAGATTGGTCCCTGGTCATTGGCTATAGAGTTTTTATTTCTCATCCCCTGGTCCTGCCTCACCCTTCAAACAAAGTGTATGAAAATAGAATTCTGGTTAGGACTGTATAAAAGCTCCATCTCATTATGGAAGGATAGATCCCTTGATCTGCCCTAAATGAATATAAGCTTTTCTTGAAAGTGTTTGTAAGAGCACTTCAGCAAACACCAAACTTTCCTTGTACTGTAGCTCAAGCAACTTGACAGTCAGATAGTGTAGATATAGTTCTGCTTATCCTAAGTGGAAGACAAGAAGGGCGAGTCTAAAACAAAAGAAAAGTTGGTAGAAAAAGATGTATTCTCTAGATCTCATTGGACCATTGATACGAATGGTACTGGTTCCTAGGCAAACATCAGTGTCCTATCTAGACTCTGAATCTCAGTGCAACAAGGTTTATTTTTCTCACTTTTGAGTGTTGTCCCAGCCTTTCCAATTAAGGGAAGAAACAAAACATTTTTGCTAGCCTGAGAACTGAGCCAACAAACAGCTAAGTCTTCATTTTTTCTACCAACTAGATCCTCCCCTTCAGGTCTTCCTCGAAAAAAAGGCACTTAGCCAAAGATTAGATATTTATCTTTTTTTCCCCTTAAACTACCCTGCAATGTCTAGAGGTTGTAAGCAGGTGGGGTAAGATGACACTATAAAGTGATGTCCAAGTTGTTCTGGAACCTTGATACACCAACAACTTGGGAAATGTGCTGCTGTCTTTGCATTGCAGGAGTTTTACTGCCTGTGGAGAATTCCTCCCCACTTTCCATTTTAACATACAGCAAGAGCTTAGCCCTAGAATTGTCATTGGCATAACAAATTATGCTCAAGATCCATCTTCCTCATCCCACTGTTCTCCTGATGTGTTATGCTATGGGTCCCATCACTCTCCAGCAGCATGCTTGCTATTGAGTGATTGTAGACATATTCCAACACATCATAAGAATACCGGTTGGGAGAAGACTGCCTAGAACCTTGGCCTAGTTCTCACCATGATGGAGAAATTGTGTTGCACTTATTAAGGCCATAAGTTGAGAACCTTGTGATGGAATGTGGCATGCTCAAAACAAAGTGTTTGCATGTAGAAATTGGCTTGTGTAGGGATAGGTTTGGTTACATCTCAATGGACATACTCTCTTGCTAGAAGGAAGTCTTACGTTATTTGGACAGAAGGGCAGTTCTTTTATTTTAAGAGTAGCCTCTTACAGTTTGACATGGAAAGTCTTTTCTAGAGGACCCTTGCATGGTAGTAGACAGAAGGGTTTAAGGCATGTCTATATGTTCTTGGGATGCTAATACCTCTTGCATGGTCTCTAAAAGAGCAGATGAAACCATCTAACATATCATTACTTTTCCCGGGTCACTTTTAGGAATCCAGTGACCACTGTCTTAAGAATATAGCCTTGAGCCTTACTCTGTGATAGAAACTGAACAAATTGTGTATTAGGCAAAACTTCCAGGGAATTTTTTTAAATGATATCAAATAGCTTTGCAACACGTAGTTCCATTTGATAACCTCTGTTGGAAAGCATCAGTACAAAAGTATGACTCCATTCTAAAGGCACTATACTATTAAATTATTTTGCTTAGGAATGCCACTTGAATCAAGAGAAAGGATTAGACAAGAAAATTACTTTGGTTATTGTCAGATGTCATAACATAACCACTGCCTACATTAAAGTGAGGTTCTTGGGCACTGCTTTAAAAAAATAGCTTCACAAAACATGATGTGCCTACACATAGCTTAACAATCTAGTGAGGGCTTGCCTTAACTCTCAGTGCATTGGGTTGGAGCAAGATTAAGTCGTTCAACTCAGGTCCCCTCCAGTTTCATGGTCAGGTTGGTTGTTAAATCTCAAAGGAGGGACCAAATTCAGCTAACTTAGTTTGTTGGGAACCCACTCTTTGTGACCTTTGAAATGTCAAAGTTAATGTCTCACTGAAGCAGCCTTTCAGATGAAGTGTAAAACTCAGGGTCAGCTTATAGTTGAAGAGGAGATGTTGGGCAAAGTAGGTTTGATGGATTCTCCTGAGATATCTCTTCTCTTTCCTTGCAAGTGTTGATGGGCAAAAGCACCACATTTCCGAAGCTGCTTGGGCCCTGCCAGCTTGTACTTTTGTGTGTGTGTGTGCAATGCTTGGGCATGAGGCCACTCCAGGGAACATAGAGAATTTTTATTGGGAGATTTTGTAGGACTCTGGCAATGGGCCTGACTATGCTGGGTGCTGAAATTAATCTTGGAGAAATTGTTCCTGGAATATATCCCTTCTGCTGGGAAGCCGAGAGTGCATCTAAGAAAGCTAGCATGTCAGGAAGAACAGTCGGCTCCCGCTCTTCCTGATCTCTAGTTTCCTTTTTGCAAGTCATTTATAAAGATGGTATATATTCCATCGGGCACTTCTCTGATTCGCCAGTTTGAAAAGAGGTATTTTAGGAGCAGCTTGAATTTAAAAGAGGGTTGTTCAGTCCAGGCTTTGCTGCTCCCTTGAAAAATTAGCTTTCCTAATGCACTAGCTTTGAAACTTTGCTGGGAGGATTTAAACAGGCACTTTACCTATTGCACTTTCCAAATCAGAATAAATATGGTCCATCGTGTGTGAAGTTCATCTTCCAAAGGAGAAGTCTTTTGGACTGCAGTCAGGTTCCACAGAGACTCGATCCATGTACATTCCAAATTTGCAGGGTCATCCACAAGAGGTAAGGGTCAAAAGATGGTGGTGTCAATGGTGTATCCATCTCTTTTGCTGCCCCCTCTGTGGACCCCCCTGCAAACTTCTCCAGTGAGGGAAGTGGCAACCACAGGTGACCGTTACCTTACTGTAGAGAAGCGAATAATCACAATGAATATACCGAAAATACGCTTCTCATGGAAAACTATTTAAAAAGCAATAGAATGTTTACCACAACGCCTTTAAGCATTAACTTGCTGCTAAAAATACATTTCTCACCCGAGGCAGTACTTCAGCCTTTGCTGTCTTCATTTAAATGCATGTAGCCCGAGAAAACTGTGGTTATAGAATTATAAGCAGCAAAGGAAGAAGGGAAGAATTGCCAAGAGCAAGATTTTTATATTCTATATTATGCAGTCAAGCGCAGTCCAGGTGTGATGCTGTGGAATAGAAACTTAAATGCTTTTCAGGTAAATTCAATTCTCCTTTGCTTGTTTCAGGGTTGTGTCTTTTCAACAATGCTTTAAAATGAGGGTTGATTGGGGAGCGAAGCGTGTTTCTTGATTTGTGAGTGTGGAGCATTGGTATTCCACATTAAATTGCTTGAATATTAATGACGTGTTGGGATTTTAGACGGGGCGGGGAGAGAATGCATATGGGAGAAAGAAAATCTATTGGACAAATAAATTATATCGCACTAGAGCAGGGATCTTCAAAGTTGGCAACTTTTAAGACTTGTGGACTTCAGCTGCCATGCTGGTTGGGGAATTCTGGGAATTGAAGTCCACAACTCCTAAAGTTGCCAGCTTTTAGAGAGCCCTGTATAAGAGGATATTGCTTTACCCTGACAGGTATAGTAATTCCTTAAAACCCATAGGTATCTTCACAAAGTAATTTTAACTGCACTGAAATTTATATTTAATTTTGTAGTAGAATGAGGTTCCCTCGCAAAAAATGTGCACTCCCAATAATGGTCAGTGTAACAACAAAGGAGTCAAAAGAGGCTGGATAGTAGATGTGGCATCTCAGTGAAAGGCCCTGCTCACCATCTTGCTTCTCTTGATTGTTTCCTATGGGTGCTGTTGCACTGTAGACCAGACCCAAGCTTGTTCATGAAAGAAGTGCACATCCCTAAGATGGCCAAACCAAATGGGCCTTGGGGGCTAATCCATAAAATTGTCTTAAGGAAGGCAAAATTCATCCCCACCGCAACCTCCTTTGGCAGAGGAGAGCTCTGAGGATGTTGTAAGATGTCAACATCTCATCAAAATGTGGCAAGGGATTGTGGGAGTTTTTAGTTTGTGATCTAAAGCAGGGGTCTCCAACCTTGGCAACTTTACGACTTGTGGACTCCCAGAATTCCACAGCCAGCATGTGCTCTTCAAATTCTACTGAATTACATCTTCAACCAAGCTGGTCTGGATCTGAAGACCTGTATCTTGTGCTTAACACGAAAAGTAGCAAGTTGTCTACCCTTGATCTAGGGACTCTTGCCTTTCCTCCCTCCTCTTCCCCTTTTTCTTGATGACAAACCCTCTTCATGCGTGAAAGTGACTTGTACGAACAGAACTAGCCACTCGTAAGCAACAAGGTTTCTATTGGAAAAAATAAATCTGTAAAGGAAGGAGAGAGAATTTTTTTAAAAGGGAGCATGTGGAAAATGTTCAAATTCGAACCATTCTGAATCCCAAATCAATGGTTTCAGGTTCAAAACAGGACTTTTCAAGCATTTCGGAGGTGTTACTCTTCAGAAATGTTCGAAGCATCCTATTTTGCTTTTGGGCAGCTGTCTCCATGTCGAAGGGAGCATTTCAAATCCTAGATGGTCCAAATATGAAATGTTTTACAAAATTATTTTAAAAAAAGCAAAATCCTCCCACTTCCTCCTCCTCATCCAAATACAATGAGGAAATTTAATTTCCACTTTGAATGGAAGAGGAGCTCGTATCCATTCAATATCTATCAAAAGCCTAAAATAAGTAACTGGTTATAGATCTAAGCAATTTTTATAAGATTTGGGTAGATGAATAACAGCTCTGTGTGCTATCAGTCCATGCAATAGAGTGATTGCAACTCAGTGTGATACTACATCAAAGTGCACCCCTTCTTAAAAACATCTGGCCTTATAATACTGATGGATCCCACTTGAAATTGAGGGCTGGCTTATCTTAAAAAATAATAAAGGAAAAATGCATGATTTAATTGTGATTTTTTTTTCCGCACTTTAGATATTTTGTGCCATTTCTATACAGATACATATATATATAAAGTATGCATTTATAATTTAATTTTTTTTTCGTTTGGCCAAATGCTGGAATAAACAGTGAGCATATCTGGTATATGTCATTATTTATTTATTAAATTGCAATTTTTTTTGTTTTTAGAAAGAAAAAGAAAATAGCCACCAGTGT